TACTTATACATATGTATATCCATTTTAACGCATACGGAAAAAAACATACACACTCCAGCTGAGTGTATTTGGGTTTTTATTAAACTTCATAAGGCTAGTTAGCGGAAGAAAAAAAATTGATATGTTTGTCTTTGTATGCGCATATTTCAATATACAAGTTTGTAAGGATTTTGGTTTTTTCAAAAATATTTACATTGCTGTATGTTAAAAACTAAATTTGGATGCTGGTAGTATAAATATTATGATAACAACACCCAACACAGTAAGAAAAAAACTTTTAAACTTGAAAATCACTCCAAGCTCCCACTCCCTGGTATACATCCCGCTGCTATAGCACAAGCATACCAGTTTTTAATAAAATTCATTGTAAGAAGGTTTTGTTCTCTGTGTGATTGAAATGAGACAGGAAAAATAATTTAAAAAATACTTATTTAAGACAAGCAAACTTTTCGATATGAACAACAAACTGTGGATATTTAGAAAATTTCAATCTGATTTATATTTCACAAGTTACTTTTTAATTAAATTGGAAGAATAAACTAACAGCGCAAACAGAAAGATTATTTCCTCAAGTTAATGCCAGACAGAATTTGCAGCTTGTTATATTATTGATATTTTAAATAAACAAATAATTTCTAAGATTAGAAATCGTAGAAAGATCAAAATTTTAAATTGCATTTTCCATTAATTGGATTGATTCAGCGCAAAAAAATGGAAGTTACCGTTTAATAAAAATTTTGAAGTAAAAAAAATTTAAATATGTAAACTAACTTTATGGAAACCAAAATATGTTTTGAGTACGGTTGCCACCTATACGTTATCTTATGTAAGCAATCAGCTTGTTAGTTAGGATATACGAATTTTGAACTTGCCATGCAGTTTCAACTGTAAAGTAAAATATATATTATTTTTATATTAGTAAGTCTTAAGGCTGAAAAAATTACAAATATTTCAAGAAACTACCGACATAAAATATTTTTAACCAGGGTTGCATTGCATCAATAATGGTACGAAATTGAAAAATTAAAAAAAAATCTTGGCATGTTTGTGTGGCCTCAGACTTATATTCGGTAAACTAAATTTCTAAGTTAGAAGATAACTTAAATTTTCCTTAAAAAAATTAAGGCCAAAATATGTCGATGGTAAAATAATTTAAGTTCCATCATAATTTTAAGTGGGGCTACCAATTTCTCGAAATTTGTTCGAATATGTTATAAGGGAAAATAGTTATATAATATAATATGCATAAAGTTTACGACATATTTATGTACGGTTACCACTTGTTATAAATATTTTTTCAAAAACTTCATAGTTAAACAACGATTTTAAACTTTAGTCGATAAAACAGAAAGAACTCTCATAATAATTAAAAAAAAAAATATTACACAACTTAGGTATTTATAGTAGGAAAAAACATTAGAATTTAGGGTTTTTAATTAAAAGTAATTATATACTCGTATGTTTTTATTCGTTTTGGTTTTTTAGTATCTTTGATAATTCCAGCAAAATAACTACAAATATGCTCCAGATGCATTAAGTTGTAAATTCATTTCACTCAAAGTTATAAATACGAAAGGAATAACAAAAGTTCGGTCAGTTGGTCACTGTCAATTTTGTTTTTGTTAAATCTAAAAATACCAAATCTTTTGCAATCTCTTTATTAGTCTTCTATTTAAATTTAGAACTATCGGTCCAAATGGAGATCAGAAAACGCAATGTAGCTTAAGTTAGGTCAGACGAAATTCCACCACTTACGCAAAAAGAAATTCACCATGTGATTCTCTTCGGGTTTCTGCGTAATATACAGCCAATACAAATATTCAGAGAATTCCAAATTATATCCATATGGGACGATTTCACCATCTTCAAAGACTTTTTCTAAGTGGTTCTGAAGATTTCAGACCGGACATTTTTCCGTAGAGAACGACCCCGAGAAGGTGGGCGGAAATCTTCCACTGATGACGTCATCGTAGCTCTGGTGAAATCCAAAACTGACGAAGATCCGCGATTCCTACAAGAAATGTTTGCTAATGAATTGGGCTCAGATGTCATGGCTATATCGCGTATGTAATCATCTGAGATACAGGGAGAAGAGGGGTATTACCAATTTGAGATGAGGCCAAAAAGAAGCTCAAGCACAATACGAAAACTAAACAGCAGTCCACCTATGCAACAAAAATCAGTAGCAAAAGTAATGTGTCAGTTTACTTCACTCGATCTAAAATCTAGTTGCTATTCCACTGGAAAAGGGTCAGACAGTAAATACAAAATTTGAAAAAAAATAAATAAGATAAAAGAGGCGATGAATATGAATAAATATAAAAAAAAAATTTATTATTTTTTTCTGGCGAACTGACCGAGCTTTTGTTATTTTCTTCGTATATGTACATTAAAATTTATTTAAATTGTTGTTGTATCACTTCGTTAACATTTACTAGGCCATTCTTTTCAGGTCTTCATGGAATGAAAATACCTAAAGTTTATTCTAAGCCAGAACCCAATGTCAAATGCCTTTTTAGGCGGAGCTTTTTATTCCATTTTAGAAAAACATTTACAGAGATTGGTCAACGCAATTAAACAATTAACAATTTTTTTTTTATTAAAATAATTGTATATATGCTAACTACTCGGATAATACTTTCCATATACAATGGCCAAAATGGTGAACGGTGTCACAAATTTTATAAATGCTTTGATATATTTATATATATATATATATATATATATATGTTTCCAGGTCGAACTATTCTGTGAAAATATTTATATGTATGTATATCTTCATTGTGGATTTATATATATATTCATATTTATATTACTCCCAACAATTTCGGCAAACAAATAATACGAGAAGCAAATGGGTTGTTCACAACAACAATAACCAGAAGCAATTCTACGTGCTGAGAGTGAATTGAATTGTTCAGTCGATTGTAAAGCGTTATTGGCTTACCTTCTTAATTTGATCAAATATTTATTTTGAAATTTTCTTAGAGATCCTTACATTATTTATGAATTCGAAGTAAATATTGATTAAAAAAATTTTAAAAGAAAAAATAAAAGTTTACCTTCGAAAATCAAAGAAATGAATAAATTCGCTGATATGCAACACGGGACTTGTATAACAAATAATTTGACCAAAGAATCAGCCCAATAATCTTGATCAAACTCCATTTTCTTTGAAGTAATACCAAAAGCATTAAATCTATAAATATTTATCAAATAAATATAATATTTTGGTATTTAAAAATCGATTTGCTATGTTTGCATCAAATGAATTAAATAATATTACTTTTGGAGTTTATTTACTAAGCCATTACGTAATTCAAATTATTTTCAGACCCTCAATAAAATGTGTACAAACCTAATTTGTACTCGTATTTAGCTTATTTAAATAAATTGAAAGTAGTGAAAGCTGTAAATAATGCATAAGCAATAATCGAAATAGCAATTAACCATTCACGCAAGCCGCCAATTGCGTATAGATACAAGTATGTAAATATATCCATGTGCCCAGCATATTAGCATATATTTTTAACAGAAGCATCTGCGTGAGTTTGCACTGATGCGTAATAATTTTTCATTATACAAATATTTTCAATTAAATGATATTTTAGATCATACATACATATGTATGTAAATATAAACGAAAATATTTAACGGGCACCTGTGGGTCTCTGTGACGGAATTAAACTAACCATTTCGATTGCTTATTTATATATTTACTGCTTGTTCCATATCAACAATTGAATAAGAATATAGTTTTATTACCTAACTAATTAATTTCATTTTTTTTTTTATTTATTTTGAAGGTCATTTTAACTTTTTTACGAAATTTTAATTAAAATATAAAACAAGTGCGTTAGAGAGCCATTTCTAATGGTGTCACTATGAAATTATTCAGCATCAGCTGAGCCAACTTGTGTAGCTAAAAATGATATTCAAAAATTTATTTACACATATTTATAAAAAAATTTTCAGTAGATAAAAGTGAAATAAACAGTTACTATCAAACCTAACTTATGTAAGGGTTTAGTAAATAAATAACAAATTTACAAATTTTTTTTACTAAATATTTAGTGTTTATTTGACAATAATGTTTATATAAAAATATTTCCTATAACACTGGACGACTTCCACATTATATTTTTTTATTTTATTTATATTTTCAATTTTTATAATTCATGTAACTATGTATACTTCATTGTTTTATTTATGTTTTACAAAGATACGTACATAAATTTGATGTGATCACAACTTTTTCTTCAATTAAATATATATAAAAAAAATATTATTTACTTTTACTTTACTATACTCTTTACTATTAATAAGCTGAGGAAGATGCTTATTAGTTATTAAGATAAAACTTATTGTTAAGCTTAAATTAAGCTCATCCTATAAATAAAGTTTTTTGGTATTTTTTTTTAGTTTCCATACAATTTTTATTTCAATATATTATTGACACTCAACGTATGACAAAATCGTCTGAATAGGAATTTGTGGAAAATTGTAGAAATATGAAAATGGTGATATAATTCGTGGAACTCATAAACATATTTATAGAAAAAAAGAGATCAATAAATATCTTTATTTTTATTGATTTTCTAGATGCTGAACTTTATAAATGCATAACCAAGGAAAATAAATGTTTTTTTTTTTTTTTCAATTTATGCAAATAGACCATTTGGAATAGAGACCCTTTAAAATTTAACAAATAGCAAAAACATTCTAATTTTTTTATTATAAATTTTCATATTCAAATAGTTTTATGTTATTTTTCTTTTATAAAAAAAGCTCTTTTATAAACTATGTAAGTGATCGAATAACTTCTAATTGTAATATATCTAATCAAAGGGTTTTGAAACAAATTTACATTTCTTTATATTCCAGGGAAGATTTATTTAAAATTAAATGTCAAGCAAAAATATTAAGGAGCTTTTATTATATTTAATATAATATTTTTAAATAATGATCAATGATTTTCAAATTTCTTTCATTACTTTCAGGTCTGACAATGTGCTACCAACGGCTTTCGGTGAACAACAACAATCACAATAATTTAGACGCAAAGCCCACACATATGCCACCGTTACACTATCCGCACGGGCACAGATGGAATGAACCGTTTTTTGACTTAACGATGCCAAAAAATATAACATCGCTCGTGGGTAAATCGGCATATTTGGGATGTCGTGTCAAACATTTGGGTAATAAAACGGTGAGTACGAATTCACTATACATAGAGGGTGCTCCATATTTTTAATGTCGGTATGTAAACAATGAGAAAAATCAACCCATTTCTATTAGTGATGTATTTTTATTCAGTCTGGTTCCTTACAATTTCTCTCTTTCTTTCTTCTACGTTTGCCATTACCTTTCCGAGCATCTCGGGTGTAATAGCGTCGTTTTTGTTGAGCTCATGAATAGTTTGAGGCTGGTTGGCGTAAACCTTGCTTTTCAGATAGCCCCACAAAAAGAAGTCCGGGGTGGTTAACTTATCTGTCTTGATCTGTCAGATGCTGCCTTTTTGCCGCAATATTTTTTCCGATTGCACTTTGAGTGAACACAATGGAACGAATGTTTTCGATGTAAAGTGTCAAAGTGAATTATCGTTTCCAAAACATATCTGATGCAATCGCTCGTTTGGTAACTGTCAAAGTTATTCAGCCTTTACATACCGACATAAAAGATGGAGCACCCTGTACTATATGTATTTGACTTTCTTTTATAAAATTAATTTGGAATACTATTATATTAAAAGTTCACTAAATTATTAAAAGCCAATCTTGATCGATAACAAAAATATTAAAAGGGCAAATATAACTCAGTTTAATTGAAATTTTTAACGACCTTATGAAATAATTTAACGCACTTGTATTATATAATATATATTAAAAGAAGTCAATAATCTTATTAAAAATATTGCCTTTGTTGTTGCATTTAAAGCTTATATTAATCAAAGCCACATTTTGGTTTTAAATATCAAATTTTTCTAATAGCTGGTATATTTTAGAAATAAGGTTATATATGCAGCAAATAGTAAAAAGAAAAATGAAATTTAGTACTGAAACACCACGAACCGAAAGGCATGAGTGACAGCGACTAACCGGAAATTAATGAGATCAGTCTTTTCGAAAGCACTCAAACTTATGTGATTGTGTGTAACCTATATGTATTAAACCTTAGCTACTTGATTGTATTATTTCCGTTTGACATCTCCATTTATATCTTAGACAGGTAAAAATGTAATCAGTAATTTTTAATAATGTGTAACGTAAACCAAAAGCTCTATCAGCTTATGTGAATTGTATTTGTTTATTTGATTTTTGGTAAGACAGATTTTGTTTTGAAGAAGACATATATTCTTCAGCTTAAAATCATTTCCGCTTTGTAAAACATTTTGATTTTTAAGAAAATACTTCAAAGTGAATTCCACACCTTCAATGCAGCGGGAATGGCAGTATATATACGCATGTGTATGCTTGTTTACAAACGCTTGTATATATGTAACATTTGCAGCAAGTATCAAATGTTTAAACACAGGCACACAAACATAAAAACATTGACATGGCCCAAGGCCTCAAAACCGCAAAAACAAAATATTAATAGAAACATGATAAGCAAAATATGTTACAACAAGTTGTCGATGGTATGATATAATGTTTGAGCTTCGGTACATAACAACTAACTCTACAAGCAAATGCCTTAGGCTCGTTACATATTTACGAGCATTTTGCCCAATTTATATGTAGGAATAAAGGGAAACAAAAACCTTTGTGTTTGCTTATAACATTGTAAGCTTGCCCTGTACTACTCTTGAATAGCTAAGTATATTGAGCAGACATAGAAAATCCTTTCATTTCATTTCAGATACATTAAAATTACAAATTAAACATTTTAAACCTTAAAAAGTTTAATTCTATTTTATTTTATTTTAATTTATCTTATTACATTTTTTAATAATAATTTGTTTTATTTCATTTTAAAATATTTTATTTTATTTTCATCAATATTGTTTTAATTTATCTTATTTAAATTTTAATATATATATATATTTAATTTTTTAATAATAATTTGTTTTATTTCATTTTAAAATATTTTATTTTATTTTCATCAATATTGTTTTAATTTATCTTATTTAAATTTTAATATATATATATATTTAATTTTTTAATAATAATTTGTTTTATTTCATTTTAAAATATTTTATTTTATTTTCATCAATATTGTTTTAATTTATCTTATTTAAATTTTAATATATATATATATTTAATTTTTTATTCCATTATAATTTATTTTACTTTAGTTTATTTTATATTATATTATTTTAGTCTTTTTGTTTTATCTTACTTCACTTAGAATGACTTTACATTATTTTACCTTGTTTCAATTTATCTTATTTACATATTTTTTTCTATTTAATGTTTATTATTACTTTTACTTTTCTCATTTAATTGAGTTTATTATATTTGATTTCGGTTTATTTTATTTCAGTTCTCTTCATTTTACTTTATTTTACGCCATCTTATTTTAACCTAATCAATTTAAGTTTTATATTTGATGTTATTTGTTTTATTCAGTTTAATTTACTATTATTNTTTTTTTTTTTTTTTTTTTTTTTTTTTTTTTTGTTGAATTAAAGGTTAAATCTAAATTTTTATTAATTTTTTTATTCCTAAAAATACTAAAGTAAACACCCTTAACACTCTCATTGGAAAGAAATTTTTCTGCTAGTTATTTCTAAGACATATTTGATTTTGTTTTTTCTTTGCACATTTTCAGTGCTATTGATTCCAAAGTGTGTACAATTATTTTGATTGTTAAAGTTTTCGGTCACTCTTTAATTTGAGAAAATTGGCTTCGTCCTTTTTGCTTAAGGCACACATCAGCTGCATTGAACAAACTGATCAAAATAAACCGAAAATTATATGCACATATATACACTGCCAAACTTGTGCTACATACATATATACTTACATTGTGCGTACTTAGCATGGTTAACGCTGAAATCAGTTACAAACTTTCCGAAAAACTCACAAAATTTATTCAGAAATTTCAACAGCAACACTTTTTGCTGTTTTTGGTGTTGTTTTGTCATACAAAGTATACATATCGGAAATCCTTTCGCCCTTGTTTGGTATTTTCTATTTGCATTTAATTTACCTTTCAGAATGTTTTTTTCTTTTTCCCAACTCCTTTTTCACCAGTTGACTTTTTAATTTATTCCGGTTAGTCGGACATGTTTGAAAATAAACAAACTAATTTAAAATTATTTTTAGTCTGCTCCAAGCAAAAGATTATTCATAAAGACATTAGTAGCAAAGCTTAGATTCATATTAACTCGGCTTTACTGCATATATATTTTTTGTTAATAAATACATTATCATTACTTGTTGTAATACATATGTGAGATAGTAAAGAACATACATAAAAGAGCTGCCTCAAACATACGTAATGGGTTTTGGAAGAAGATTTAGAACTTTGAACTTAATCCTAATTTCTTTTCCATTAAAATTGAGAACAAATGGCAAAGTATAATTGCAGCTCACTCAGTAAAACTCAGGAAAACAGAGTGAGGTACCGTCAAAGAACGCCAAAAACTGTGCTACGCTTTTCTTAATCACTCTTTCAATTCTTCTATATCCACATTGTCTTTCATGAGAGCTGCAAACCAGACTCTTGACCCACATTATGTGGCTTACAATTGTAAGATTACAAATTTTATGATCATTGTCACGCAAATAGGCGAATTTGTGCAGACATATTAAAAACATATCACACAGTCGCATCCAAACTATTGCACTAAAATTCACTTGGCAACCGATAAAAATACAATGAATTATGATTGCCACATAAAAACAAATCAGAGGAAAACTTGAATGCAATAACGGAAAAATATATAAACTTTTGTGAACCAACTGATAGAAGCGTGGGGAAATCCCTTCCAACCTTTGTTGCCAAATCACGTGCTTCGTGTGCCATTTGTTGTAGTCGTTTTGTTATTTCTAACTTCCATTGACTGCGAGTAAGCCCGGACATGGCTGTCGATTTGTTGTTGCTATTAAAGAATCATGCTGCATGCAGCATGCCAAAAAGCAAAAGGACAATATTTCACCTGTCAGCCGGGAGAGAGACATGAAAATATTTGAAGTATCGACAGCTCAAATCCAAATTGCAATGCAATAAAGAAGAAAACGAAAAATAAAAAGAAAAACAAAATAAACAAGCACAGTGAATGCCAACTAAACCTGCGGACAGTAAAAAAAAGTTACAAATTATAGCGTAAACTTTCGTTGTTACAAAAAGTAACAATCCTCGTAGAGACTAACAACAACTTGTCCAACCAAGAAATTTTTGTACTTAAGGCTACTAGCAAAAATACAACTGCAAGTGTCACCACGCAAGGTGGCGAGGTGAAAAATGGTGAAGGGATGCGGCGAATAGAAAAAAAATAAAAATAGCATGTAATAAGACATAACTACTGAGCTAGAGCTTAAGGCGAAATTTTACTCATAAAAGTACAGATCAGAAATTTTTAAAAATATGCTTATCAATTCCAACAATTTTTTTGGAAAAACACCCAGACGCACAACCTTGAATTAGAAGAGGAGCTAAGGAGAAAATCACTCCAGCGGTCTTTTATGTGGCCATAGCTTTTCACCTTTGATCTCTACTGCATTTCTCTATCTCTGTAGCTTCTCAGTGAAATTAGTATCTGACTGACGAAATCCAAACATTTTTCACACTCTTTTCACATTATTCACTTTTTTTAATATTTTTTCTACAGTGTTCAAGCTTGTTATTGTTATTTCTGGTTGGTTTATTGTAATTACTTATCTTTTTTCTATGTGAAGAAATATTTATTTTATTTAGATACTTATTTATTTACACAATTATTTATTGTGGAACATAAGAAACAAGAATTTTAAAAATAATTTTATTTTCCTTGTTAATATAAATAAGCGCCCCTTACTTCTCCTCATAGTTCAAAAATTGATCTATTATATATATTTTATATATATCACAAAAATCTTATCCAATAATTTCAATTTAGGATTATTCCACCTTAGATCTTTCCATATTCTTAGCACCTCTCAAATGGAAAATTGCTCCAACGCTGGCAACGTCACCGCCGCGTTGAGCGTTTGATGAGATTTAACTGTAATTTTTCCTTCATTTCCTGCCACACTCATCTAAAATATATGCAAACAATTCACGTGTCTTATGGCGTCCTTGCGGCGTATTTTCATACCCCCAACGCTGGCACACGCAGCAAAGTTCAACCAATCTCCTGATTCCCCCCTAAGCATTGCGAGCTTTCATTGCACGTGGCAACTGTTTACGCTTAGTATTGTATGAGCAATTCGAGCTCTTAGCGTCTCACCAAAACGAAGCATTAGATACCTTCGCTGCACACCAGAAAACTACGGCGATACCAACGCCCGCAACAACAGTGGCAAAGCGGCAACGCTGCCATGGCTGCCAGCCAGCACTTAAGTGCACACGAATGCTGCATAAGATTTATGATGTGACATAAAGTGCGCCACTTGTATTTTAAGCCTTTTGGCATGCAATGGCCACGGCCGGCACCAATGACTCGGGTGTGCATATGCACGTGTGTGTGTGTGAGGTGCGCGCCGCTGGCAGGCCAACAGCTGCACTGCTCATTTTCACCATCAGTCTTCGTCGCCTCTGCGTGATGCTTCAGGCTACAAGCTGCTCAAGCATCAGCTCCAGCTAGTTTGTCTGCGCGGCTTATAGTGTGCAAAGTGAGTGGGCCAATCTGTTGTTGTATTTCTTTTTAATATTTTATAGAGATAAAGCGATGTTTCCAAGCATACATATTTATATTCAGGTGCATGTGGGTGTGCACGTAAAAGTATTGTTTGGTAAATATACATACATATAAATAATAACAGGTCTTCTAGAAGAAACATATATTTGATTTTTAAGAATAATAGATACATTTTTGTTGATAGAGGATACGTAGCTTTAAATACTATGCATACCAAAGTAAATAACTATTAGTTCGGAACACTTAATCTTGCCCTCCCTTAATATAAGCATCATTTAATATAAATCATAGACAAACCTTTCGAAAACTGCGTGCAAGATTTAATTTAGTTTTTTACTTTTTTTTAAATTTATACAAATTATTCTTAATTTATTATGTTCATTATTTTTCTTTCCTTTTTAAAAAATTTTGTATGCAATATATCCACAGTCCATAGATAATGTATTAGTTGAGTGTCATCAAATTTTATATATTCTTTAAATTTTTTCAGTTAAGGGCAGAAGTTTATCTTAAAAAAATAGTTGATTCATATAATATTTTAGCTAATATTCATTTTGTATTGCAATAAGAATCATTAAACACCATTTTGCAATCAATAATTACTGACAACATTAATTGTTTTATATTTTTTACCAAATATTTTAAGTCTTTTAATGCTTATTATTTCTAGGTAAACATTTTTTTATTTCTGTTGAAATTTCCTTCATAAGCAAACCTCAAGATAGCAAAAACACCTTCTCGTGCCACCGAGAGTTAGCTGAAGTTCTCTTCCTTCCTTACGTGCTCCAAATGCAAACGATAAGCCATTACAGTGCGACATTGTTTTTTAGTAAACTTTTTGAAGAACAAAGTTTCGCAAAGTTTTTGTAAGCAACAGGAAAATGTAGAAAAATTATTAAGCATATATGTAGACAAGGTGAATATGTGTGCAAGTTGCGCAAATATTGTTTTTGTGGTGAGTTTCCTAAAAATATGCCGTGGCATATCTCTTTTTTGAGTTTTAAAAACAAGCCATATACATTGTTTGTTTGTATGAGAAACACCGTTAGGTAAGCGCACATGCGATAGAATCATGTGATTTCACATAAAGTTTCTAGTCTCGAAAATTTGTTCTTTTCATACTTTTTGCATTATGAATTTGGTTTTCAACGCGCAGAAATAGATGAAGAGGAATTTTTTAAAATTTAAATTTAGATAGCATGTTGCTGATATTCCCTTTAAAGTAATTAAATAATATTAATTCAATTTGTGTACGCTTTTACAAAACTCAAATCAAAATCTTATTATTAGTTATGTAAGTATTTTTTCCCGCACCGCTACTACACGTATAAAAATATATACAATATCTGAATATAAAATTTTACAATTTATTCTACAAATTATATTACATGTATATGCAATCAAATTGAAATCACTCTGAATAATTTCTTAAATTCCATTCTCACCTACTTTTGTGAATTTTTACAAGGAAATGAAAATTCCATGAATTCCTGTACAAACCAATACAATAATACACACAATGGACAATGACTTGTGGTTTCGAATAACATGAAAATTGAATGCTTTGAGTACGTTCTACCGAACACGCAATTTTATGTACTTAAGGCCAGCTAAGCGCAAATGCTTTACTAGAAATTGAAATTTACAAGCAATCCGAGCATGCGCTTGAGTTTTTCCAACTCACACATACTACATATATGCTGGTAGTACATAATTGTATGCTTGAACACTTAATCTTATGCAGTTTATATATGCATGTGCTCACATGTGCATCTAATATATAACTGAGCATGTTCTAGCAACACAGTTTTGGGTTATAAATAATTGCCCAAAGAGCTTACACATTTATCAGTGAGATTTACACTCGATGCATTAGTTAAGTGCAATAGATTTTATGAGGATATACATAACATTAGGTTGGCTTAGATTCTAAATTTTTTACAGAAATTTTAATTATTAGAATGTCTTCATAACTATGCATTGTGGAATGAATATAAAATAAAATAATTGCAAGCATTTCTGTTTATATTTAGGACAGAGAATTATATTATATTTTGAGCTTAAACATTGATAAATACCTAAGATATGTATAATCGAAAAGACTTTAAAACGGTAACTAGAGAAATAGTTTTTCATTAATATACATATAATTGGAAAAACCAATTAATAAGCGAAACATAAGCCAAATAATATGATTGAATTATTTCGCTAGAATGGAAATATTTTCCTTTAAAAGAATTTAATTTGGTAAACTAATAAAAAAAATATCATGAAATTCGGGTTTCTAAAAACTTAAAATTATTTAGTTTTTATTAAAAACAAACAATTCGATAATATTTTTCGATATTGAATGGACCAAATTTTGAATACCCTTTTTTTGAGCTTTATTCAATTGACTGTCAAAAAATGTATTCTACATTTAATATGAAAATCCCTCAGAGTAAATTAGTGTTTCACTGCAATTAGATATTGGTATGGCATTTCACGTCTCTCTATAATAAACAGTGCAAGGTACTTCTAGGCGAAATCTGTTTCACAATACTAAAACCATAGAACAACAACTAGAAAATAGCGGCTTAAGCACACTCATTATGAGACAAAATCCGAATATTCCAAAATTCAAGAATTTTTATCACAATTGGGTTGAACCTAATGCGAAAATACCTTAACAGAAAGTATGAGTACACAAATTACGCACATAAGAATACATATATACCAACATACTTATATTAGATACTCACATATTATAAGAAGTTCCATTTAGATGGGCAAATGCATATACATACATGCCCAAATATGTAGTTAGCATGTAAACTGTTTTTCTTGCATATGTGATAGTATATGTGTGTATGGAATATGTGTGCCTGCAATAGATCTCTTGGGAAAAAACATTACATAAACTTGCACTTTAAGAAATGTGGTTTTCGTAACCTCAACTATGTAGGTTACCACCCTGGCGCAAGCGAGTGAAATGTTATCAGTGAAAGTGTTCTACATTTTTTGGCGTTGAAATTTACAAACAATTATACATATAAATTTCTACTGAAACTTTAAACACAGCTTACGACTAAAGGGTTTACTCTATACGTACTTTAATCATAACTGAATTCACAAAAAACTAATTTATTATATTTTTTTAACTTTGCTTATTTTTGTTATTTGTTTATTTTTTGCTGCTAAATGATAAAGCAAACTTACATCAAATGAACTGAGATAAAGGTGAAAAGAAATAAAAATAAAAGTTACAGAGAAATGTTTAAAATGCACCCTAATCTCTTTAAAGACTAATCCTCAGTACATTTATACACAAATATATCAGCAAAAAATATAAAAATATAATCTCAGAAAAAAATTATAAAAATATAATCTCCTTTTACCAATGAATTTATTCTATATACTCCGCTTATTTATACACCCAAAAACTCACATATTATTCGAATGAGTTATTTCTGTTTTATATTCATTTATCCATGAGTAATTCCATCACTTTTACTCAATTACAAAGACTCCTTTTCTTCTCTCTCTCATCCCACTTCAGGTTGCCTGGATACGTCATCGTGACCTACACATACTCACTGTGGGCACATACACCTACACCACAGATCAACGGTTTCAGACATCATACCATCGTGATATTGACGAATGGACATTGCAAATTAAATGGGCACAACAGCGTGATGCTGGTGTTTATGAGTGTCAAATATCGACACAGCCAGTACGAAGTTTCTCCGTCAATCTAAATATTGTGGGTAAGTGACTATCGCTATAAGTATTCACTTATTTATAAAATTGAGAATTTCATAGTCTAAGATCTAATTTTTGAACAAATTAGGTAAATTTGTATATATATGAATGAATTTTGGACCATAAATTGAATAGAATACTAAATTATTTTACGGCTTTGTTAAAGATTTTAAGATCAACAAATAAGAATATGATATTCTCTATGTCAAATTATATTATTGATTTAAAAAAGTATGCTTCATTTTAAAAAGTTTTATTCCCTTCGTCTAATTATATTTTTTGTAAATTTTGCTAGTTCAACATAAATCTTGTAAGTCCATTAAAGTCCATTTAAAATAACTAAATAGACCTTTATAATAGTATAATTACTTAAAAACAAAATTTCTTAGAATAATTTATAAGTCCAATGAATACTTATTAAAATAAGTGCCGAAATAAAAAAAAAAGTTTTCTGTTTAAAACTATTTGGTACAAGCTGTTCAAATAGTTATCGTTCTAAAATCTAATTAATAAATTCTAAACACCAAATAGCCTATGTAAAATTAGGAAGTTTTTCACTTTCTTAAATTAAATTTTCAATAAATATTTTGAAACTTCAGTTGAATGAACTCGCAAAGAAAATTTAGAACATATAAACCATACCCCAAAACATATGCGTCAGTATAAAACTTCAGGGCGTGCTGATAAGATATCGATAACTTTTTCCCATCTAAAATATATATCTCATCTAAGTATTATATAATATATTAAAACCTTACGTTCATATATCTCGAAAAGTTGCCGACCGATTGACCTGAAATTGTCAAAGCTTTGTTCGAAAAACTTTTTTTCGGAAAGTAGATCATGGATTGATTCATTTGGAAAATCTTATTTATTATTCTATTTACTTGCACTTCGATACAAAGGTGACGTTTTGCTTAGAAAAATAGTATCCTTACTCTTCTCACTGGGAAATAGACCAGAGACTTAGCTATTTAAAAAATATTTATTTATCTTTCGATTTCCATGAAATTCTACTCTCCGTGAAGTGACCAGATACTAATCTTTTCGAAAAAAATTACAAATAGTATTCCATTTGAAGGAAATCCGTTACATCATTCTTGTTGAATTTTTGATGATATTTCTGAAGAGAAAGCTTTCGTTTCCAGGAAATAAACCAGAAACCTGGAACCAAGATCGAGTTTCCTGACAGCAGAGGTATCACAGACAGATTGACAAATTCAATATGTTTTTGATATAAGCGTAGATTGTGTGTCCATATGTTCGCGTTGAAATTTGTATTATTCTGCCATGCGGGTGTCGAGCTTAAGTGCGAAGAAGCTTAGCTCCTATTATTTCGTTTGATTTACTTCGCGGTGAAACAACATTCTCATTCTCGAAAGACTTTGAGCAACGAAAAAGTGATTCATATACACCATAGCAACGTGTGACCGGATCTGCTAGTACAGTATAAATATGAAGAAAGAGAAAAAGTAGTGTGGTGGTATGAGGTTGGGCTTTCCAAATAATTATTTGTTCTTTCCGCACACAAGAACCCTTGAAGAATAAAAAATTACTTTAATATTATTCGCTGTAAACATAACATTCAAATATTTTGTACACGCGAAACTGAAAAGTTCTTATGACCACTTTTCATTCAACCATCAGCGAAACACCGAGTCGTATGCGTAACTTTTATTTTCAGGTAAATGAGGCGAGAATCATAAAAGCGCTATGTGACTGAGTGCACGATGACGATGGATTCTTCGTCTTACCTTACGCCCTAAAAGATTGTAAAAAAGTTGCATTTTAACAACAAAATTTGCAATGAAAACTTCATTTGACTGTAAATAAAATAAGGGAATATTACAAACTCATACATATATAAGATTAAATGCAGAAAAGATTTAACTGTGAATTATTAAATTTTCCAAAAAAAAAGTAATATAACTTGAATACAAAAATGCGTGATTTTGTGACATATTTACACTAAATTTATTTAAAAAATTAAATTATGTACAGAATGGGAAAAATGTATCAATTTCTATTTTACTTCCATCTTTTTAAATTTTTTTAAGTAAAGAGTTATTGTTTTTTATCTTATTACTTTACCTAAGTTTGTGCAAAATTTTAATTATGGTAAAATTTGAAAAAACTAATAACTCGGTTTTTTATTACAAAATTTCATCAACATTTTACTACATTTCCATATATCTATAAGCGCATGCAAGTAAAATAGCGCAAATATTCTTTTCTACTAACAATGGCATCATCAGTTGGGTGGAAATTGTGTAAAAAGTACAACAACATCAACAAGTATACTACTGTAAATAAAATATAATTATTATGACACAAAACAAGCAAAAGTTATGTTGAATGAAAGAAAATTTCGCTACAAGTAAAGACTCTTATGCGCAACATACACAAACACATATGCAAGCCACTTGTTTACATCATATAAATATATATATATACTCATACATATGTATATGTAAGCAACAAGGACTTGCGGAAAACGTCATTTGTTATTGTAATGAGTGCAATTGTAATATTCTTTTGCATAAAGTTTTTCAAATGGAAAAAAAACATTTTAAATAATACAGTTGCAGTCAAAAATGAAGTGGTAAATACAAACATATATGTATATTTAGGTCTGGAAACATTCATATATATGTATATGTCACCTTTTAATATTTGCATGTAAGTGTGTAAGTGTGTAGGTTTCTACTTCAAAATGTCCTCAACTTTCACAGCAACAACTTCGCTGAGCATAAACTTGCTGCTGACGTGAAAGTTTTATGGTTATTTATTCAAGAGCTTTTACGTTGCCATCAAAAAGTCTGCTGCAATACAGTTAGAATGACTTAATTTCTGTTTCCTTTCGCCCGAGAAAAACAACAAAATTTGTAGCGTTTAATAGTTTATAAGCCGTATGTGCTACGTGGAACTACAACAACAATATTAAGTGATGCAGAACCTTTGCCCTGCAACTGTTAATCGTAGTTACGATCTGACGCATTAGCACTTTTACGGATTTACCGTTAGTTCAATTCACTAGGTATTTACTTTTCACGTTCAAATTTTTTAATATTAACATTCGTCGAATTAATACGAGAAACAAAAACGACTTTGTATTCGACAAATAAAATCAAATAAGCCTAATATAACCTTTCATTGGCTTTAAAAAGAAATTTCAAAATGTTTTGGAAAGCAAAAAAAATATTTTCAATTTATTTCTCAAAATAAATTTCAAATAATGAAGAAGTAGTTATAGAAGTTGCAAACAAGAAAACAATATCAAAGTACCTGAAATGGTACGAAATACTAAAATTCTGCTGAAAAATTTTCGAGAAATCAAAATTGCTCCAATACTTGAAAGTTGTTGAATAAAATTAGGTGGTTGCTTGATTTCTAAGATTTATTAGCAAAATTCTTGTCGTCAGTTAGCAGTGCTAAGTTTGAAGCTCGGCCAGACCAATATTCAAAGCTATAGAAAATTGATGCAATAGTTTTTCGATGTGGAATGTCAACCACACTGAGTGCACTGATGACTTTAAATATAAGCTTCTAATAAATACTCATCAGACGTATGGAAATATATTAGAAAAAACTGTAGAAGCCACCATTTAACGGAAAAATATCCAGTCATCGAATGCTCGTATCGCATCCTACTAACAGTCCGTTTACAGTTAAATGAAGTTTTGTACAAATGCTATAAGTTATTTACTGCATTTCAACGAACGTTTACAAAGCTTCAAATACAGTGAAAAAACTAAAATTTATTGTTAAATTGTATGATTGTTGTATGTATGAAGGGCTAAAGGAAATTTTCCCAAAAAAAACACCTTAAATCTAGAATAATGCATGAAATCTTAATTTGAACTGAAATTACGGTCCATATAATTTAATGTTTGAAGATTATTTTATGCAGATGTTGAACCTGACTGCGCCGCAAAGGGTACATCTGCTTAGTGCAAGTTGTATGCCAAACTTTCCAATATTTCGGCCGTTATCTCACGAATAAATGCCTCAATGTTGTCCTCCAATGCGTCAGTTGAAGCGGACTTGTCAGTATAGACAACAGATATAACATAGCTCCAAAAAAAATAGTCTAAAGGCGTAAAATCTCACGACCTAGGCGGCCAATTGAATTGAAGTGAAATAAAATGTTCACTGAACCCGGCTCTCAATAAGTCCATTGTAACGCCTGCTATGTCTCATACAGCACCGTCTTGTTGAATCCACATGCTATGCAAGTCAAGCTCTTACATTTTGGGCAAAAAAAGTTTGATGTCATCTCACGGTAGCGCTCACCATTCACAGGTACGTTACGACTCTCATCATCTTTGAAGAAGTACGGTCCAATGATGCCACCAGCCCATAAACCCTACCAAACTGTGACTTTTTCTGGATGCATTGATAGCTCTTGCCATGCTTTTGGCTAATCTTTACTTCAAAATCGACAACTCCGCTTATTTATACACCCAATAGGCCAAAAATTAGCTTCGCAGCGATCGTGAAAGAAGCGCGCGATGAATTTTTGCAAGCGCTGTTCGTTTGGAAGACGATTCGTGGTTAAATTATAGACCAAACTGAAGATGTTTGACAGTGATACAAAACACGAAACGTACGACAACTGTGTTTAAACTAGTGTTACCAAGAAGATAATATCTAAAAAAAAAATACCCTTTATGTAGGAAATTTACAAGCACTCTATAGCCAGGAACTTTTCTAACACTAGAAAAGACAAGTCTTCCAAAAACAACAACTTAAATTTAATTCAGATACATGCTTGGATTACAAAATCCTCTTATACAATTCTCTCATGAAACGAATGTGAATGCACTGAACGCCAAACTGAGAATCAGTTGCTTGAAATTCACGCTGCGCTACGATGCTTAGATTTGTAGCTAACTTCAAAGAATAATTCTAATTTTGGTATTTGCCCCTCATTCAGACACCTCAATAAATATATGAATATCTTCATACCAAATGCATTGCTTTACGCCCATTTTTTCAGATGGAAAAGGAATAAGGGGCATAAATCTGACAGAAATACTTTCTCTACAGCTATGTTTTTCATTAATAACAACTCTAAGATTGGAACATTGAAAAGAATTATTGGAAATTATCTGCCCAGTTTTAAATATTCTCGAGGAAATTCTCCCATGCGGATTTTGAAAACCCCAAATTCACAGGGAGAATGATTTTTTGGAAGCAGGATTTTTTCTCTTTTGAAATCAGCTGCTTAGTATTATTGTGTATTACTGAAATTTGATAATTTGCTGAAATAAAACAATTTTCATTGAATACAAAATTTAAATTAAAATTATGGAAACAATGGTACTATATATGTTGGCTACGAATTCTTCTTCAATGTGGATAAATTCTTTACCAGGGCAAATATCCACGTCGTTTGGCAAGATCTCTTGCTTCTACAATCCAAACATCTTCGCAGGCAATCGTTCCACCGACTCTTTCATCGCTTCGGGAGTGGATAATTTACGATCTGCATTATCTGTCGTGCTTTCTGTCGTATTTCCTTTGATCAGCCCACACCTAAAAGTAAAATATGAAGCTAAAAAGTCGCCTGTTATTGGAAAAGAAATTTTACCTTCTTCCATTCCCCAAGGCGGTTCCGCAATATTTTGTTCTTGTTCTTCCCCCAAAATTGACTCAACTCCTACTTATTATCCTCGAAAAATCCTCGAACTATAGCCAGCTGATATTCCATCAGCTCTACTAGTAACTGCAACTGTGCTTCGACCTAAAAAAATCATTAATAATTAATACTATTGTTTGGGAAGCACCCACACAAATTTAATGTTAAAAAACTCTACCGCAATATTGAAATAAACCAAATTTTTTTTGGATTGGTGATGCCACGTTTTTCCTCGCGGAATTTTTCCCAATTTTTGAAGTTTGTTTAGACTACTAGGAAAGGGACAAGGAAAAAGTTTGGCAGAATAGGAGAAGAGTTAAAATTGAAAAATCTTCCGGGGAATTTTTATTTAGAATGGGGCTTTATAATTTTAAAAGCTTACTTTAAGAGATTTCCTATAGTCTTTTTGTCGGTGTAGCGTTTGTAGACTGAGCCAAGACCGATAAAAACTTGGCGAAGTTGATCTGAATTCAAATTTGTTACAGTTTATTTTGATTATCGGATGTTTAGGTGTAAGAAATTAATTTTATAGACGGTAAATTGAGAGTATCATCTGAACATAATAGGGAGGTTGGAAAAGAAAATTTGTCTAAAAAAGTGATAAAGCAACTTTCCACTATACTATCATTGTGAACGAATTTCCTTCGAAAAATTTAAATGGGTTATTGTGGTTTGGAAAATAAACATAAAAAATGCTATTAAAAGTATCATTTAATTGACCACACCGCAAATTTTTACAAACTTCCATCGGTTTTAGGTAATTTCTGCCCACTTTTTGACAAAATGGAAAATACTATATAGTCAAAAAACCACCCGATCCACTTCGTTTAACTCTGGCAAAATTTTTTATTCGCTCAAAACCTACTTGGAGGCTCCAATTTTCAGTTGATAGAGGGAATAAAATAGATTATGTGGCAAGACGTGAGGTTTGGAATAGAAAACACATTAAACAGATATTTATATTATTAGAATATTCGTTGGCATAAGATGATGAATGAGACAATAATGAATGAAGGCTTAACTTGAAAAGTTTTTGTCTCCCTTGTCAAGATGTAGACCTCCGATATTTCCGGGATTAAGTCTAACATGTCCTTTTTACGGTCCGTATATTGCTTGAAAAGTGCCATTAAGAGGAAAGTAAGTTCTCTTTGATGCCAATTTGAAGCAGTTGGTGAGCTGAATGCCGTGCCAGTTGCATAATTGAATAATTCCGAAAGCTTAATGTAAGAAATATATTTAATTTCTTATGCGTCTAGTTTTTTGTAATGCATTTTTTGTAAACTAAAATAAATATAATTAATATAAATTTATCGTTAATATTAATTATATATTAATTAAATTAAACATTTTTAAATTAATTTAATTAAATATTTTAATATAATTTATTCTTTGTAACATATTCAAAGACATTTAACTTAAAAAAAAACATTTTTTAGTAATAATAATGAATTTTTATTAGCATAATAAAACAAAAAAATTAAAACGTTAAGGTAAATTCAGTAATTTTTTCCCAAAAATATCTTTAACTGAAATTCGCGCCTAGAAAAATCTTAAAAATGTTCATCAGCATTGCCTAACAGTTTATCAAATTTATATGTTAAGTTTTAATGGAACTTTTTAAAATTTATTTGATTAAATTTTTCATACATGTACACAATTTAAATTCACTCAAATATTTAGTTTACTTTTCGCCTCGTTTCTCATAAAACTAATTTTCTTTCGTATTAAAATTCTTATTTCGCTCCAATGGAATAAAGGCAAAAGCAGTTTGGCCAACAGCTCAACTTTCTCATCACCATTATCATTATAATAATCATTACAGAGCCACTCACTTTATGCCCATCATATTTTACTTTTACTTTGTTTATTTTATTTTTATATTTTATATTTTTGTTTTCTTCACTCTTTATTTAGACACCATCGACGATGAGACGAGCAGCATGTTGCAGCAGTACTACAGTGACGATGCATTTTATATAAGCTCCGATCGCATTTACCAGACCAGCGACGATGAGTTCGCGGGCATGTTTGGACACATACAAACCGTAGCGGGTTCGTAGCACCAATAGGGGTAGGGTAGTTGGTTGGCACTGTCCCTCTAGCTCCCTCCCTTATTGTTGGCGTTCTATCATAGTCTTAAAGTTAACAGCTGCAGTTGCGCTTACTTACTAACACTCTTAGAATTATTAGCAATTCAACGCCAAAAAGGCGAGAAACTAACTGCTCATGAGACTCGAAACAATTTCGCTTAACTGCCTGCTACAGAAATTTATTTACAGCAGATTTTTCGGCGAAAAGTGTGCATGAAGATATAGGGCGTTGATACACTTGTGTCTAGTGCACTTAGCACTGCAACGAGTGAATAGAACATGTCCCATGGAAAACGGAACTTATCAAAGACATAGTAAAACCTTTCTTGTTTGAAAACCTTTAACTAGTCTCAATGGCTATGGAACAAACTTTATATAAATGCATGTGCTCACAACACATCGTTGAGCATTAACATAAGCATGTGTATAATGTGTGTACATATGTAGCGTGATGACATGTTGCATGTTGCATGTTGCAATTGACTGCCATTGGCACACAGCTGTTGCCACAACTAATGTACAAATTACGCTAATATATATTACCAGCACATTTTACATACTCAACTAGCTCGAGGAAAGCAAAAATTGTTAGCGAAGAAGAAGATAGCGAAAGAAGCTGCAACAGCTGTAAACGTAACGTGTCTGCGTTTCAAGAAGAAGAATAAGGAGAAGAAGTAGAACTTTCCTGCATGTTTGTTTTGACTTGGTGGAAGTTAGTTGAAGTTGTAACTATACCTCTGACATAGGCACGCACAAGCACAAACATACACATCTATACAAATATACAACATACACATGTAGATGGTGAGCAGAAGAAGCCGTTTTCTAAAGCATATGCAGAGTCTAGCTTTGATATATTTATGCTTATGACTTGCCTTAAGCATTAGCGAAATAATATTTGCTCATGCACAGGCACACATACGTTCATACACACACACTGGTATATACACATAAGTACGATTATATATGTATCTAAACATAGACTTACATATTTATTAATCGTTAAATGCACTTCTACGATCTCGTGCTACACTTGCTACTCACACAAATGCATACAAATATTTTAATATATATGTGCAGGCATATGTGAAAAAGTATATATGTAAATTATTGTAAGTGTAAGTGTGTAAGTGTGTTTATAGAGCAGTAACGGCAACTGTTGACTCAACTTCAATTTGCGTAGCGCTTCCTAAGCACTAAAACTGAATTTCTGTTTTTGAATGTATTCACATGCATACACATGTACGCGTGAATATGATGCGCAGCGCATCAATGAGCTGCTAGTGTTTAAATTTGCGCTTCGCTTCATATATGCGCACTTATAGGGTTTGTACGAACATTTTGTTGATCGAGGGTAATGTAGTGGATGAAACTATGAACTGTTAATAAGCTTAATTTTACATATTTGATTAATTTAATTTTGATAGTAAAAAGATAATTTAAATTTCTGCTTCCATCACATTTTGAAAATTTTAATGATTAAAAGGATTTGCCTCATCATTTTACTTTCGCAAAAATTATGAAAAATTCGAGATTTTAAATCAAATCGAAAATTTACATAAAAATTTAAAAATGGGAGACGCTTACTCAATGAATTTCTTTATTGTATATCAAATATTCAATTCATACAAACAACAAGGCCTCCTAGTTTACTTAATACTTGTATCAATTAATTAATTGTGATTTTTTAAATTTATAGTAACACATAACTAATAATTAAAAGATTGGAATTGAGACTTATGTGTTGCTTTACGTATTAAAGTACAACAGTATTCGATCAACGGCTAAATTTTGTAATTGTGGTCGCCCCTCTGCAGGGAATGTCAACCCCTCGCTTCAGCGGTTACAAAGCGTCATTTATACATAGTCAATCATCATGCCTTCATCCTAAAAACCTTGGTAATTTTCTGAAATTTTTTCCTTTCGAGTTGCCAAGAGAGTACTAGTAGGACATCAGATATAACGAAAATACGATATTTGATATAGTCGATTTTGTATATTGTTGTGTAGAATATCAAATCCACACTTCTGGATGTTTTTTGATGGAGTTTTAGCCCGAAACCTGACCGATCTGAACAACTCGGTTCTACACGTATGGGTGATATATTTTATAGAGCTCCTATTCAGAATATTTTCAGCACCGATATGCAGTTAATTACATACGAGTAGGTTTATAATACCAAGTTTTAAATTCTCAATTCTCTGATTCTCAGATGTTTTATTGAAATTTATTATTTTCACTAAATAAATAGAAATTATAAAATGCTTGTTTCTATTTAAAAACACCAGAAAAGTGAAAAGTTAAACTTCTTATACCTATTTAATAGTTTTCGATTCGTTAGAATATTCAAAAGTTCTTTACTGCGATCGCCCAAAATTATATTAGTTTATATCCTAAAATGTTAGCATATTGCGACTTGAAGAGCTTGGTATTCTTTTGTACGTACAAAGGTGGTCTCACCGCCGATGTCTAAAGCATATATAATTCATGAAGGAAAGCTTCCCTCAGCCAGCACAACTATAGTGATGCAGAAAGCGTGAAAAATGGCTAATTATCGATCGATTATCACTGAATAATAATAATTAGGTGGGAGCCAATGGCTTATCAGCTGTGCTATTCAGACATGAGGGCGAAGGCTGACAAAATGAACGCATGCCAGTTGATGGTATCCGTAATATGTTCTCTGCTCAACTCATAAGAAGTTGGGCCCAATATATTTAGTGTGGTTAAGACCTTATCGATTCACAATGCCAAACACTGGGCAAGGCCTGTTAGACGAGAATATACGTTCTACTACCAACCCCGTCAGAATCGGAAAGAATCTTTACTAGCTGTTGGATAGTAAAAGGGGACGGGGTGACAACAAATACTGGTGAAAACATTTCAAAAGCGCCAAATAGAAAACAAACAATCCAATCAAAAAGAGCGTGACATAACGAATTTTGTCTCCCAAACTGGAAAAAGAGGCAAGGCGAATGGGTTTAGTAGTGGTGAAATTGCTCCTGCAATCAAACAAATAATCAGGGGATGAATTTAAAAATTTTAACAGGAAAAAGCTTTAAATAATTCTGATTTTTATTTGAAATACATGTGAAATTTCAGAACAGTTCTCAGTAGAATTTAAAAATATGTAAATAATTTTTTTCATTCATTTAAAAATAAATAGTTTTCCGGTTTTAGGCGTAGAAAAATATAAAAATTAACAATTTTATATATTTTCAATCAAAGTTTAAAAACAAACGTAATTATAAATCGAAACCAACTAAAAAAAGCTATAAACTGTATGTCATTTACGATGAAAAATTTTAAAGTTATCGCCAACTTTTAAACATTCGTTAAATTAATTTTGGTTTTTATCGCAATAAGAAATTTAAGGTTCCGTTCGGCACTAACACCAATCTCACAATCTCGTTATTTAAATCGTGATTTGGAGTCAAAACCTTTTTTATCCGTTTTCAACTTCAAAATCAGAAAATTTTGCATCTTACTGACTCTCATAGCATTCGTTTTGATTGAAATCAATTTTTTTTTTTTTTCGTTGAAGTCAATTATTTGCATTCGCCTCAACCAAGAATTTATGTTGGTAGCTATCATCAGCGGTTTTAAGTTTCATTTCGCAAAATTAATGTAATTGCGAATCAATAATTTTACAGAACATCCAAAATGAAAAGTTTACTTTTCGAACTTTATTTCATTATTAATACATTACTTTTCTGGAGCGGAGTTTACTGTGAAGTAAAAAATAATGTTTATAATAAGCAAAAAAATTATGAAAAAGAAATTCCTTTTTGACAACAATTTTGGAATATAAAATTAACAAAAACAAATATCAAATTATATGATTTGAGAATTCAAAATTCTTTTAATTAGAAGCTTTACATGCATAGTTAGATTAAAATCTTAACCAAAAGTGTCGACGTCACTACATCTAGGCTCTCGTTCTTTGTTTGTAAATATTTGGCTTTGCTTGTGCGTATGTGCGTATGCATTTATTTCGTTATTTGAGTTTGCGTTCGAGCTTAAATTTAAAAAACTTCTCATATAATTATCATATTATCCAAACAAAATCACATTTATAATATATATGTACATATATACATAAATCTATACATACAAAGGACTGCCAGAAGCGCACACAAATGTCAACTTCATTGTCTATATACAAATATACATACAGATATGTAAGATGTTTGTTACACGAAAACTTACTTCTGTACTTAGTAGGCAAATACTAGTTTGTATGTAAACAATAATAAAAATGTTTAAATGTACTTAGAAGCATATTTGCATACATGCATACTTACTCATCTGTCTGCACTAAGTAAATAGTATGTATATATGTACGTATGTTGCTAATGTCACTCAAGTGAATTTGCAAATTTTGCCGTTTCATATTTACATAATCATACAAATGCCGTTAATGTATATTTAAGTACACAAAATGTAGGTATAAATATACATACATATGTGTATAAAAACTAAACTTCGACATTTCCTTATAACAAGTAATAACTATTAGATTTACAGCTTCGAGTTGAAGGAAGAAATTTCATTACAATTACGAATATAGTGTATTGTCGAGTAACTACATACACACTTGTATACATATACATGTATAGACATACAAAACACTATGTCAGCCAATCATGTAAGAGCATATATATATATATATATATATATATGTATTCGGCTGTCTCAGTTCGACTACATTTGCATTAACGTCATAATTTCAACAATCATATACCAAACGTTATTAAACTCTTTAAAAAGTTACCAAGAAAATCAAATATCATAGAGACGTACAAACATGCATACATAGGTGTACATACAAAACTAGAATTGGTTATTTTTCTATGGAAGTTTTGCTTCTGGGAAACAGATTTGATTACAGTAATTTCTGCAAATATTTGCATAAAGCCTAAATTTGCAAGTATTTTTGTATGTATATACGTCTCAGCAGC